ACTAGTTACTTGAAAAAAAGTAATCGGATTACGTAACTCGCGTTACTTGTAATGCGTTACCCCCAACACTGAGAATAACCATTCGTGGAGTCAAGTTAAATCAGGGGTTTTCAACTCAGGAAACCTTGTTTTCACTGGAATGTCTAGAATAGCAATCCATTAGAGAGTCACTGCTGACGCTGTAAACAATATGAAATATGCCAGATACTTAAACTGCAGTCAAAAGTTTGGAATAATTATGACTTTTTTTTAATATTCCAAGTCTCTTATCAATGATGCATTTATTGGATCACAAATATAGTAAACTGTAATATGTGAAGTCGTTGAAAAGAACAGTTTTTATATAATACATTTATTTTATTCCTGTGATCAAAGCTGAATTTTCAGCATCGTTACTGCAGTCTTCAGTGTCACATGATCTGCTCAAGAAACGTTTCTTATTATCATCAGTGTTGAAAAAAGTCTATTTATTTTAAACTCACAAAGGATGCATTCACTGTCATCAATTTAATGCATCCTTGCTGAATAAAAGTATTAATTTCTTGAAAAAATGCATCAAACTTTTTAATAGGAGTGTATTATGGTTCCACAAAAAAAAATATTAAGCAGCAAAAACTGTGTTCAACACTGATAATCATAGAAAACATTCCTTTAAAATGTTTATAATATTTCACAATATTACTGTTTTTTTACTGTATTCTTGAATAAATTAAATGCAGCCTCGGAGAGCATAAGAGACTTCTTTATTTAAAAAAAGTTTAGTGCATCTGTAGTGCATATAAAGCATAACCTTCAGTTATGCAGATTATAATTCATTGCAGTTGTTCATAAGGCATAAACATCTTTAAGGTTGTTTTGAAGTTTATGCAATGTCCATCAGGTTACTGGAATATTACATAACCAACTGAATAACTAACCTGAGATCAAAACATTTTATTATTGTACAAACAACTACGTTGTTAACAAAATATACTACTGAATATGCCAAAGCAATCAGTAAGACTAATGTAGGAAAATTTAATTCCTTCCTGATTTTATGTTTAGTGATCCTGATAATTGAGATTTTATAACAGCACTTCAGTATCCTCCCTTATTGTGTCCCCAGAGAATTTTGAAGCTTGTCATCACTTGCTCACACTTTATGGTGGGTAAACGGTGACAAAATTCTCCTTTTGAAAGAACTACTGGTTTAAGAACTGTGGGTCTCATTTGGGTTGTAACATTCACAGAATGATTTCTGGAGAGCAGTGTTAAGTTGACACAGTTCCCTTTTCCACTAAATGAAGGGGAAGAGTCTCTTTTTCAAGATGTAGAGCACTGTAGCCAGAAACAGAGCAAGAGCTAAAAAGATCAGCAGTTTGTCGGTCAGTTCACGCCGATTATATTTCAGGATAAGTTTTCGCCCCAAGTGAATGGTTCCCGTCATGGCCTTAAACTCTTCATTTGTCTCTTGCACAGTCCTTGAGGATGAAGCTGGAAACAGAGCAAGTGGAGAAAATATCTAAAACATAAGAACTTGCAATATTCATAACAAGATAGTGGAAAAGTCGTAGCCATGAGGTTAGACGGCTGTTCAGAAGCAGCGTGCCATGTTCATGTTTACAAGGTTGCTACAAAGTTTTTATAATCAAATGTAATGATCTTCAACCTGAATATATAAAATTAATCACTTATATCCATACCAGACCAGATTTGCATCTCAAATCTCAAAACTCATCATGTATCTCAGATTCTTTTGCCTTCTGCAGGTTTAATTACTTTCATTAGC